GAAGTTATACGGAACCAGTAAGAATTTGCTTAAGTACGATTCGCTGTAAATATTCACGGGATGTCAGGACGGATCGAACTTAAAGTAATACAACCAATGAAATAACTGGCCATATCAGTATGGCTGTTGGGTGCTCTCAAAGAAAAGAACACAGTTAAAGACGGACTGCAATGCACGGTCGAAAACGTTGGCGAGTGAAATCTCGTTACTGTGTTTTGACAAACAATGAAATTGTTTTGCTATGGTCGACGATTACAGTTACTGAACGCAAGTAAAACAGCAGAGGTTTCATGCGTTGTTCGCCAAGGAGTGAGTCAAATAAATAACTCCCGTCTGAATTAGTCTAGCATGAAAAATCGAATAATGTCAACCGAGTGAAAAAAGAATCTTGCGTTTCTTGTTTTTCAGCGATTAATCCTTATAAAATGTTATATTTTGGTAATCCGCAATCCAGCTCCGTGAAGGTGATAGCGCGGAATTGTCATCTAGTAGACTGAAGCTTTTGGTGATTTGCTAAGAGTTGATTTCAAGTTTTCCAATCTGCATATTCATTTATAGGGACAATACGACTGCAAAAGTAATCGGTCAGCCACTAATGGGAAATGATGTATACTAAGCGCTTCTGAGGAACCTCGTGTGGTAGTTTCACACAACTAGATTCAGGAGATTTTTTTTGTCCGTGGAAGTGATGATTTTTTTGTCACAAAATCAACTTTTCACTCCATCATCACTGAAGTACGGCATGAGGTACAGTAATGCTGTTTCATTCATGTTAGGAATAAATTATTTCGTTAAGGTACCCAGCTCCAAACCTCGATTCGACAGACCGAAACGGCCATGCAGACACTGAATCAATATTTCTATCGGATATATTTCCTTCATCTTAGGTGGCATATGAAAACGGTTGCACACAATTGTGTTCTTCATTTTTGTATTCAGATGGAATCAAATGGTTGGTAACAGTGGACAATATGAAGGGAACGCAAATCCCATCGCTTATTGTATTTGGACTCTGATTGATCTAGGATTACCCATGAAATTTGTGTTCAAAATCATGAAATGCTAAGCATTCATAGTATCACCTTCAAAAGAGTCGGATTTGTCAGTGACTTATTCATAATTTAATTTCGTGTGTGATTTCGATTGTGACAAACCGGATCACGCCATTGAAGCCCTAATAAAGGAAATAGCATAAGTGTTATCCTGCTAACCGCGTCAAAATAAGTCTCTTGATTATATCGATCGATAAGTCTCATTATTCACAATGCGAAAGTGATTCATTCAATATGAGCGAGACGATCTATCACGACTCCTGTGAAGCTATTCACCAAAAAGAAAGAAAATCCGCTAACGGTTGACAAACATGCTTGATACTCGAAGAAATATTGAGAAAACGAAACGGCTGTCAACAAAACAGCAATACGAAGGCTTGGGTTACGAGAACGTCTCTAGCTCATCTGTATTAGGCAAACGTTTCATCACGGCAGCACTCCACTACAATCTACTCGGTATTATCAGGAACTTCAAAACACTTTCCTAATACTGGTGTTAATTGAGCTGGGCGGAAGCCAACGTGAGTAAAAAAACGCTGAACGGACCCGTCTTTGAAGAAGCATTTCATTTCGGTAAGCATAAAATATCAAACACTATTCGCCCTGATTTAGGTCATATGAAAAAATTCTTTAAGTGGCCAGAATGTGTCAGATGAGACCTCTTGATATACTGTGCAATGGACTTGATCTTCTCAGATATCTGCAGCGATACGCATCGACCGATGCATAGAACCTGCGATTTGGAGCTGAACAGAACATTTTTCGTTGTTGATACACGGAGGTGTAGCACCCGCGTTTGCAAGCGAAATCAATAAGCTCACAAATTTGGACTACGTCATCCACGGGCAGACGATCAACTGTGATGCGAGCAGGAAATGAGGACGGTTGCAATTTCATTGTGATTGTCCGCATTCGATCGCCAATTAGATGGATGGATGTTTGCTAAGAACTGACAAGATATGCCTGTTTATGGAAAACTACAATGATTGGAATCGTAAATATGTGCTCATTTTCACAATAATCTTATTACCCAGGGTTGGGAACAAAAATGTTCTTAAAATGCATGCTTTTTACGTGCCACTGGACTTCGTGACAGAGTAATTCAAGCCAGCCAAAGTGATTGCTTGTTGAAAAAGGAACATTTCATGCGGTTGGACTCAGACACACAATTCCGACTATTTGGCCTTCGCTCACGTGCTTGAACGGAAACCACGGAGGAAGCAATAAATGAGTGGTGTTTCAACCGGGACCCACGAAACGTGGACTGGAAGGGCATCCGGCGAGGTCCGTTTGAACCGATTCCAGTTCCTTTTAGTCGGTCTCAAGTTATATTGCCCACGTGATTTCTGACAAGAAAGGCACCATTGTTTCAGTGCACAATTGAAATAATGTGGTAAGTTACATTCCCCAAGTAGAACATATTTGGTATGCGAATTGCAGTCTGGAAATATTTCATTTGATTAGGATAAATTTGTTTTGTTGATTTTACCAGGTCCAGTTGGAATCTAAAATCCAGTGGTTATAAAGAATGAGCATGAATGCAATGTCCTTAGTTAATTCACAGCCTTGCGTCGTCGTCTATTGGTAAATTTTTAAACACTTATGGTATGCCTAATAATATCGAATACAATGATGTAGTAAAACATCGCGTCAGCCAATTATTCTATTATTGACTGGCCATCAGCAGCTTATTTCACAATTGTTGATTAGTCATCCCCTGTTCCTCAAGTTGATATAATCGGTTTATCAAAACAGGCAATCGATTCTCTTCTCAGTATGATCGAATCTGCATTATTCTCTGTTTGCAGAAATAAGTGCTGCTATCCGTCACAGACCGCAGTGCCTGTCTCCACCGTAAACCGCAAGGAGAACTTGCAGGACCCATATTTTTTGACGTGAGAGTGTTAAATGTTTATTTATCGCTTGTCCAAACACATCTATCATTCAAGTTGATTTTGTGATTCACCGAAGCTATTTCATTCGGCTTCATAGATGTCTTACCATTAGGAGTCACGTTCCTGGTTGTTTCGCCAATCCTTTCCTAACTCATATGGATCGAACTGTAATCGGTCTGGATTCAGTACAAGCTTTGGTAAGCTAGGCTGTTTTGAAAAATTAAAAATAGAGCGCTTTGAACCTGTTAATCAGTTCCCCATATTACCAAGCATACACTGTTGGTGATAACGAATCATAGCGAGATTAAGGTAGCAAACTGTACTATGTATTTGGATAAACTAAATAGACCTGTTTTAGGTTACGTCTCATTCTCAAACGCACTCCCTTAAGCAATTATTGGTGGAGTAAAATTGACGGAGAAAGATTAGCTATCACAGAGTCAAATCCGCTGATATGTTTTCAATGATCCTGCTTGCCATTGGCCTGGTGTGTCAGATGTGTTGGCTTCATTACAAGTACGGATGACTGCTCACAGAAACACTGTTCTTACCCGATCAGTAAAGGCTTTTTTGAAGGGTTCAAGCCCTGTTTAGAAAACGTTATTAGCGTCTGTGTATACCCTCTCATTATTGGTATTTTCCCAGCCGGTGTTTGCATGGTCGCAGCCTCTTTCCTAAACGTTTATTGTACATTTCTATGACCAATACCCGTTAAGGAAATAAAAAACATGCGTATATTTATTTTTTGTCACGTTATATTGCACTGAAATCTGGGTCGAAAGCCCTGTGCATACCCCCATCTACTGATCACGTTTCGTTTGCCCTAATTATGCGGAAATATGTGCGTGTGTGCGAAGGGGACCCGATATGACGAGCAGATTGTCTTGTAGTCTCATGTCGAATAATCCTACAGCAACCGTGCAGAAGTCCAATATAGATCAAATGAAATGTGATCAGAAAATATTCGACCTGATTGGGGCTCATCAGTAGTACGAATACGTCATCCCAACTGGGTACCGAACCCGAGAAGACATGGAAGAACGCAAACACACATCCGCTCGTTCGTTTATTCGTTTCATTTGCTGAAGTGGATAAATGAAATAAACAAGTGGGATTTTAGTCCGTCCGAATTCACACATGGAAACAGCTATTCATTGACAAAAATTGAACTTCTAATTTGTCTAATACACCGGGAATCTTTTATCTTCTATCCTCAATAATGCCTTAGCTAACTATCAAACCATCGATATGCTATCAAATGTTTTGAATCATTTTGCGGTGCATACTTTTGTCCTGGTTTGATGAATAATGAATTCGAAGCATGACATAACATAAGACAAAGGAAAGCCAGTGACCATGTTGAAAGCACTTAGCAACAGATGAATGCACGGACCAGAAGAATACTGCTAAACTACAGGTAAATGTCCAGTTTCTCACGTCAAAAGATGCAGTTCAATCCACCAATCTTGACAGTGGATGTATGGCGCAGATGTATGACTTCGTGCACTGATGTGAGCATACTTGTGATAAATATTTCAATTCGTTAAGAGATAAATGAACGGAAAGCTTCTCGAAAAATACTATTTCGTGACGAACCTGTTTTCCCACTAACCATTTTGTTCCTGTTCATCTACTGATCGATACTGAAACATAGAATGAATCTGGAGTGCTTCCGTGGTTACATAAAGAATTCAGGAAACGTTTGCTAGTTTTCATACATTAGACAGTTATCCCGGTTCGGATGAAATCCTGTTGAAAGAGCATACAGCACAATAACAGGCGTATAAACGCTCACTTTATCTCCCTTTTGCAATATCTTTACTCAAGTACAATCTAGCGAGTTGTACCGGTTAAGCTTGGCGGGGTCTTCGAATTTCATCCGCTTTATCCGTTTTTCACTACCATCGGATTATTTACGCATAAAGACAACTGTATCCGAGCTTCTTTGCATCATTCCCATGAACGTTTACCTTGGTTGCCAAGGCGACTGTTGTGCGACTACACTAATAACAAATCTGATCAAATACACCCGGGATTTCAGGCATTCAATCAAATGAACCAAATATGCAGCTACAACCTGTTTCAGGAGGACTATAAGGAATTCAACCAAATGGACGTTCAGGAAGCTTTCGAAAAATTCGAGGAAGTATTGAGGTGATTGGAAAGTTGCTCTTCGGAAACAAACCATCTCTCGCTTGTGCGTCCCCGACATTCTCAGTTGCAACGTCCGATCTCTTATCGGAAATATGGCCGATATCACCAGCTAAGTTAAGCTACTGGAATGTGCTAGACTTGCTGTGGTCATGATCCAATAAAGTTGGCTCCATAATTAAACTGAGGATGAAATAATACACCTGGATGGTTTTGCTCGCTATCTTGTCGACTGTCCTGTTCCTTATTCCCGACGGGGCGGTGGTGTCATCACGTTTGTGAGAAACCAGTGGTGTCCCCTGACTATAAATGTGTTTTGTCATTCCACAGGTTGTATAAACGCATCAGTAATTCAATGTAAACCCAAACCTTTCAGCTTTATCGATCACTTATTCTTGTAGGTGTGTGTATAGCCCTCTCTTGCTCATCTAATATCCCTAATGATTTTTATCACTCTCTTTTAACTAAATTGATTGAATATGTAAATACTTCATTCTGTATCATTTGTGGTGACTTGAATAATTCTGATACTCGTTTCTTAACCACGTCAAGTCTTCAAAACATTGTTACCTTTCCCACTAGGTTTGATGCAAATCTGGATTTCGGTTTTGTCAACTTTCCCAATTTACTTCCCATAGAATGCCGCCCCCATTAGGAATGTCTGATGTCTCTATGTTGAAGTTTTCTCCTACTATCTTCAGCAGAACATACCATCGTCTGTTTATTCGAGGTAGTGATCATAAGCTTCGAGTAAGACAGCGTCATCGCATAAAACCTCACGAGGTTAAGGAAAATAATCAGACACTCTGACCTTACTTGTTTTTTCATCCCAACTTTTTCGTCTTCAGTGATCAATTAACAAGGTAGTTAGACTTTTGTTACGATGTTTGTTGTGCCTCAGAGCCAACTCATATTCGGCCCGATCGATTCTCTTTCCCACACCTAAAACAACTCCATCAACCCCTTTAACAATACATAGGAGCGATGAGATGCGCCTCATTTCTAAATCCATCCGGGCTGAACTTCGAAGGCCAAACTCTTTATACGCCCGTGCTCGGCTTGATAACAAAGATAGTCGCGAGACCTGGCAAACCCTCATGCATATTTCTGGCATCAAATCCTCATTCCAGGCACCTGCTGCAGTGGACATAGATAGTCTGAATGAGAGTTTCATCAACAGTGGAACTGCTCTCAGTGCTCTACCTAATTGATTTGAAATAGGCATGACTGATCCAGTCTCTAGCTTTGCACCTGTCGATATTTATCAAGAGTTGGCTCGATTAAATCGTCACAATTCCTGCGGCCCTGACGGAGTGTCACCCGTTCACTTGACACAATGTGCTGCCTTCCTTTCAACCTTATTGAGTGAATTATTCAATGGTTGTATTTTACTGCAACGTATATCTGATTGCTGGAGAATTGCCTCTATCACCCCTACCCCGAAGAAAGTATCCTCAAAATACCGTCCCATTGCCTGCACTTCAGTTGTTTTGAAGGTATCTGAGAAGCTCCTCCACACAATTCAATGTTAGTGACCCGAACTAGTTTGCATACACCTATTCCCGGGGTACCTTGGATGCCCTGGCTTTCCTGTCGCACTTTGCTTTATCCAACCTGGATAAGAAAAACAAGGCTGTAGGCATATGTTTTCTTGACTACAGTGATGCTTTTAGCACAATTGATCGACACATTTTGCTAAATACCCTCTCTTCGGTCGGAGTTCAACCTTCTACGATTAGACTCTTGGCCAACTATTTATCCAACCGTCAGCAATTCACACGCTACAAAGGTCATACATCTTCATTGCTGCCCTCCTCACAAGGTGTACACCAAGGCGCCAATTTATCTCCTTTTCTATTTCCTGCTTACATTTCCTTCTATGCCTGTGAGCAATTCTTCCCTTCTCGTTAAATATGCAGACGATCCAATAGTCGGACTGCCCTACCTTAACCCATCATTTGAAACCACTCTACGAGAAGACGTGTCATAAATAGTTGGATGGTTTCAACAAAGGAACCTCCACATGAACCCTCCAAAATGTAATGACGTATTCTTTCCCTTTTGAAAGGGCAAAAGTATTGTGAATTATCAAATGCCAGCCGGCCTTTATCTATCCTAGTGACCAGAAGTAACGGCAACCGTCTGTCAAAAACCTTGGCAATATTTTCAACCCTATTTTCATCTGGTCTGACGTTTTTCTGAAGGTCAGGAGGCTCACGTTTCATGTCTTACGTCTTAAATCACTTTCATTCCAAACCATCTCATAAGGCGTTTTGTTTTGCTTGCGTTTTACCTTACTGGATTTATGGGTCCCCTGTTATCTTCCCTGGTCTTTTTAACAAGGACCTCAAACTCATGTCCCGATCCCTCCAGTCTTTGTGGATTTGTAGTCTCATTCCAAAGAAAACATCTGGTACAGTATGTGGTGACACATCAACTCAAGTCCTGTAAAAGGTTATTCAACAAGATTTTATCTGATGTTTCCCATACTGTTTATTCCACCCTTTCTCACTCATCCACCTATTCCACTCACAAACTTATTAAGACACGCACTGAAGCTTATAGGCAGTCTATAGTCTCGTATCTCGCCAGATTGTTAACAAACAATGAACTCGTTGCAGGAAATCTGCGCCAAACGCTAAACTAAATCAATCATAAACACCCGGGTATGCCATTGGTTTCTGATGTTGCTGTCCTTTTTCGCGTCCTTTATTTGTTGCATTGTAATGTTTTTTTTCACCTTTTGTTAACAAACTGTGGTTATGTGGTTTCTGAATATTCACCTCTCGAAGTGTATAAAGCCATTCCTTGACTTGAATTGAACTGCCACTGTCTGGATCCGATTTTGAGAAAGCAAACTCTGCTACTTGGTGAGTTACATCTCACAGATGTGGGGCGTCGCAGTGAATACAGGAGGTTAAATTGACCCCTACCCAAGATGAGACATTTAAAGCGTGTCATGTACCTGGATTTGAAGAATCACATGATTTATACAGTTGCTCTGGTCATGCACGTATATGATGCAAAGACTTGACAGTTACATGAGAAAGATAAGCTAACGCTGTCGTTGTTCAATCACCGCTGTCCATGTCGCCTTGGAACAGTGTGCCGACCAAGCCACGCCGAGGTTAGGCGAACCGTATCCGGTGAACGGGGTCACGCAATGATAGTAGTTCTCCTGACCTTTATGGATTATGATGGCCTACACATGTGTTCCACATGTCCCAGTATAATCTTACTCTGGTTGTGAAAGTTTTCGGGTCAGATGGCGGTTGCCTGTGTCAGAGAATAATCTGTCGTAAGAGCATAAAAACGTTGATCATGAAAAACTGTCCAATAGGTCGAAATGTGGGTCTCATGACCGACTTGATCCACGATTAGAAACAACGAGGGATTCAGCTAAATGACTTATTCGGTAGTGCTTGAGCAGCTATTAACAGTATGCACACATGTGGTTCCCTGCACCGGTAACGCCTTCAGTTTTAACATTCTACATCATCGGCCCAGTTAAAAATGCAATTAACATGTGGCACCAGCAACTCTTAACCCATATACTGACATGCGACATTCATTCTGGTGCTATAGAACTTTGTACTTACAATCGTATATTACTTGTTTCGGCATCGTTTTGGATGGAAAAATAAACCGTGCATCTTTTCAATTCATCTGGACCAATTGATTACAAAGTCAGTTCCGAGGAACCTGAAAGAATCATTGCACAGTTACTGGCGATTTGTAATACAAAATAAGAGAAGACTGAAAGCAACATGTGATGAGAGATATACGATAAATGATAGAACTATGTGGAAGAAACACTTCAGGCAATGCAAATATGATAAAATTGGAGAATATATGAGTGAAACGTTTTCGGAATTGAGCTAGATGGGTACCATGCGAGGAAGGGGAAACGGAATATCCGAGAAAAAAAAACGGAAAGCACATGAACTACCCCGCCGGATTGGAAGAATTGGACATATAGCAGCACCATTTAAAACAAGGTGCAAAAGAACGTAGAGAACTTAAATCTTCAGGAGGTGAACTATATTTTTGGACACACCAACTTTCATCTGACTCATCCGAAGGAAGCAGAATCATCTCATGCGAAAGTGTTTCTGTTTGAAATGATGATGCACTGCTACCGTGTTCCCTTTAAATTTTATTATTTTATTATTACTTTAAATTTATTTTGTTATTAAATTTGCGTAGAACAAAAAAATTATGTTTGATTGTTCATAAATGTCAAGCTCAATGGGGAGAAGCTTACTGTCTCCTAAAATAACATATTTCGTCCGATTAAATATCTTTTGCAAGCGGATTATAGCACGCTATTGTGTCAGGAAGTTGTCGATTGGATACGTGGCACGTAAGAACAAAACAGAATTTGGCTCGATGCATTTCCTTAGCGAATTCATCACGTTTGCGCAGTATTACGGATAAATGGCTTGACATCTGCTGTTTACTAACGGTGGAAACCTGTTGCACTGCACGACCTCGGCGTACATTCACATTGCCTTGGGCGCCGCGGACAAGANCCCCCCCCCCCGTCCTTACTTCGTTCCCTTCAGTTTTTGCGCGTAAAATCATCAGACACAGTATTGTTCGCGGTAAGCAGAAACAGAGCGTGTGGAAACTCGAGCCAAAAATGTTTACGTGTGGAAGAACCTTGTAGCTTGATAAAGTCACGTCCTTTTGCTTCGCAAATCTATTGTCAAACCCCGGTCCTGCTGAGCACCCATTGGGGGATGATTCCTTACAATCACACCATCGCCGCATCCCTGCCTTTTCGTCATCCATCCATCCACGAATCGCCTCGAAAATACGAGCTAACCGTCATCGTGCAGAGCATTGTTACCGACTTCGCTGCACTACTTGTTCGCATTAACATATATATGTATGGGTGGTTAACACATTTACTTGAGGCCTGCATTTAAGTGTTTAGTCATACGATCCTAAGCGTATTCGGTGAGCTAAAAGAATAAATGCAGTGTACCTTTCGTTCAGTGTTTATCAGCTCGACGAAACCAAGTCATACAGAAACCAACAGGTTGAAAAACCTAATGTCGATACATATCGTAATTTCAGCAAATGGGCTCAAATGTCAAAGTCTGCAAACAATACAGTGAAACGTACCTCATATTCCAAAACAAGTCCATTGTCGTAGAAACATTCTATTATTGGCTTGCGTACAATTTCATGAACCAGGTTGAATAGAAACGCAAGGGAATCCGCGGACAGTGATCCGAATTTGCGTTAAGCTGACATTAATCGTTGCTCTAATCAGTATCAAATATGCACTGATGGTGCTTAAATTGTCCATTACTCAAAGTCACGACATCTAGTTTGCCGGTTTCCAAGTGTAAATAGTAAATTCCCTTCGGTTTAGATCTTCTGTTGTTGTAATGTTTAAAAGTAATTTGTTTTTGTTACCTTCTGTAAACATTTTTGGCGCCAAAGTTCATCCGCGTTGTGTCCCCATTCTGCCCCCTGAAATTACTGTCACACCAGCGTTAGGTTTTGCAATCTTATCATCGACCTATTGACCGAATAACGGCCAAGGGGAGATGTTCAGTTTACGTTATAGTAGCTATTCACTTTTTTGTGGTAAGACGCAGCAGCCATACTTGTCAGTATAGGCACATTTAAAATAAATGTGCACGCGAGATTTATTACGAAAGAAATTGTCATATGCATCCAATATAATCGGCATACTATCAAGATAAGATCATACTCCTTGATGATTTTCACGATTGCTGTCAACTTTTCCTTTTGTTCAAATCTTATCCAGACTATTTTTTCTGTATCTTATCTGAAAATAAATCTCTAAAAAAGATGTGCTTGTATGCCACATACCAGAAAGAAAGTTGTTCAGTTGAGAAGGACGTCTGGAATCACCTTTGGTTAAAATCGATCAAAGTAACAGAATATGGAAGAGTTAGCAAACTGCGTGTTAGACTCGTGATTGGGGAAAAGCGATTGACAGTTTTGTTTGTCGCACAGTATTTTGCGACCAAAATACCCAGTGAATACAATTTAAGGTTACTAGAATAAAGAATTTTAACTTTTTCAATCTGTGTAACAAACCAAAGACCACTTATGCTAATTTCCACCGTTCGATCAGTGTAAAAAGATGCATAATTTGAGCAATTATTTTGATGAAACATTTAGACGTTTTCTACGATTTCTATTCATAATACAACCCTTAAGTTCAGTT